TGGATAATGGGGAAAATTTAATCACCAAAAGGGTTGTCCAGCCCTGGCACAGCTGCCCAGGGCAGTGGTGGAGTCCCCATCCCTGGAGGGGTTTAAAATCCCTGTGGATGTGGTACTTGGGGACAGGGGTGGGAATGGCTGTGCTGGGAATGGTTGGACTCAATCTCAGAGGGCTTTTCCAACCTTAACAATTCCATGTTTCTATTCTATGGTTATGGAGGATGAAGTAAAGAAGTGCTGAGAACATGGGAAGAAGGGAGTCATGGACGCTGAACTGTTCAGCTTCATTTTGTTAGGAATAATGTAAAGAAAGATATTCCCAAGCTTTCCTTTCCCTCAAAAAAAAAGAAAAAAAAAAAAGGAAGGGACTCAGACTGTATTTTCAGCACCTATTTAGCAATGCCATTTGTGCTGCAGTAAAAAAAAATTATTTAATAAGCAACAGGAGCAAATAAAATATCTGCAGCATAACTCCAGGTTTGAATTATTGCAACAGGCCATTCCCACTTATTGAAAGCACTGGGAAAATACTTAAGAGCCGGGAAAAACAATTTACAGCACATAAAATCATCTGCCTGAGTCCTGCTTGGAAGAAATATTGCTCCTGGTGAAGTTTTTTCTGAGGAAAAAGTCCATTTACTGGCATCAAAATGCTCCATTTGATATTCAGATCTTTACCGGAGGCACGGGAGGTTTGATGGGATCACTGCAAGGCTCTGATGGGACAGGACAGAGTCACTGTTGGATCATGGAATGGTTTGGGCTGGAAAGGACCTTAAAGACCATCTCATTCCAAACCCCTGCCATGGGCAGGGACACCTTCCACCAGCCCAGCTTGCTCCAAGCTGGCCTTGGACACTTCCAGGGACCCAGGGGCAGCCACAGCTTCTCTGGGAAGAAGGAGGGAATTTATGGTCTTCCAAACAGCAATATGTGTTTGGAAGAGCACAAATATTTCCACATCTTCTGCATGTAAAGGTGAGAAACACCAACTGCAGAGGGGTGTGGGGGCAGACACAGATTTTTTTGGAAGGCAGGGAGGCACAAATACGGCTGAAAAAGTTGACCGGGAATTGTCCAAACAGCTCCAGCCGTGCTGCAGCTCAACTGCACAACGTGTAAATGAAAGGAAGAGCAGAGAGGAGGAAACAAAGGCCAGTTTGCTTGCAATTCATTAGCTCTGCAAAGGTTACCAGTGGCTGGAACATCATTTCTCCTCCGGCCCCAATTACAATGGAATATTAACGGCCCTGGAACGGCCCCGTCCTGCCCAACCTTTATCCACTGACATTTGCTTCGCTGCAAATGAAATGGTAATGTGGGACAAAATAAAGGGAACCAGAGCCTGGCTCGGTGCTGAATTCCAGCTCCAGAAGGAGCTCCAAGAGCCCAGCAGCAGCTCTAACGTGAGGCACAACCCTGTGCCCACAGCAGGCAGCTCCTGAATGAAACAGAAATCAAATCCTACATCCAGGTGCTGTTGGAATGCAGGGCCAGGTTCCTGCCTTTCCACACTGTGCCAGTGCCTGGGATATTCCATGAGCCCAGCAGTGCTGGAGTCTGGCAGTTCTTTCCCGCTGGAAGGGCTGGCTTGACGTAAATCATCCCAAATGTCAGCAATGAAACCGAAAAATCCCAACCTCCCCTTTCCCTCTCGGGTTCTCCAGGCAGCTCAGCAGCAGAGCAGGGTCAGGATGGGGTTACAACCAGCTGGAGAAGATGGAAATGTGCCACAGCATCCCCAGCTCAGAAAGATTTCACTCATTCACAGAATCACAGGATGGTTTGGCTTGGAAGGGATATCAAAGTGGGCACCTTCCACTGTCCCAGGTTGTTCCAAGCACCATCCAACCTGGCCTGGGACACTTCCAGGGATCCAGGGGCAGCCACAGCTTCTCTGGCCAACCTGAGTCAGGGCCTGCCCACCCTCACAGCCAGCAATTCCTTCCATATATCCAACCTACATTTCCCCTCTTGCAGTTTGAAGCCACTCCCCCTTGTCCTGTCACTGCAGTTCCTGATGACAAGTCCCTCTCCAGCTTCCTTGGAGCCCCTTCAGACACTGCAAGGGGCTGTGAGGTCTCCACAGAACCTTCTCCTCTCCAGGTTGAACATTCCCAACTCTCCTATCCTGGCTCCAGCCCCCTTATAAGTATTGTGGCCTCCTCTGGACATGCTCCACCATTTCCATGTCCTTCTGATGTTGGGGCCACCAGAAACCACCCCATGAACCATCGAATCCTGGAATGCTTTGGGTTGGAAGGGACCTTCAAGACCATCCAGTTCCACCCCCTGCCATGGGCAGAGACACCTTCCACCAGCCCAGGTTGCTCCAACCTGGCCTTGGACACTTCCAGGGATCCAGGGGCAGCCACAGCTTCTCTGGGCAACTCCTGCATTCCCTGGAGAACAGCAAAATGAAGCCACACCCTCAGATGTGCCAACAGAAAATCCCTCTAAACACCCATTTTCCAGAACATCATCTCCTTCTGTGCCCATTACAAGGACTTGATACACATCCAGGTTTTTGAGTTTGCTGCTGGTGTTACCAACTGTTTTTATTGCCTCTACTTGGTGAGCAAATTCTCAGCCAAGTCTCTCTCACTGACAGCACGGGGGGCTCTCAGATATTACTTCTTTCTGCTCTGCCTTGGATCCCACTGTAATTATGAAATGTGCCCCAGAGCATTTAAAAATGCCAACGTTTCAATAGTTTCCCCTCCACCCAGCCAGCTGAATCCCACTGTTCTAACACTGCTTAATTAGAGAGTTCCAGGGACTGTAAAATAAAAGCACTGGGAGAGCAGCTTAGGAGCAGTTAAAGAATGGAAGAATTTTTAATGCATTATAAAAGCTTAACTGGAAAACACCAATAAATTGCCTTCTCCCAAATCCGCACGGCCTTAATCCCCTGCCTTGTTAGGATGGTAAATAATATCACAGCATTAGTTCCCAGGGAGATCCAGGGATGGAAGGGAGGAAAACTCTTCAACCTGCCCGAATTCTGGACATGGATATTCAATATATACTCAGCTGTATGTGCTCGTTGAGATGCATGATGTCCTTATCCCCTGATTCAAAGTGGGATTGGAATCATGGAATGCTTTGGGTTGGGAGGGACCTTAAAGATCATCCAAAGATCATCCACCCCTTGTCGTGGGGCAGGGACAACTTCCACTAGCCCAGGTTGCTCCAACCTGGCTTGGAACACTTGGAACACTTCCAAAATGGAGCAACCTGGGCTAGTGGAAGGTGTCCCTGCCCGTGGCTGGGAGTGGAATGAGATGGTCTTGAAAGACCCTTCCAGCCCAAACCATTCCATGATTTTGTGAATCCCAAGAAAAACACCCTCAAACATTTCTCCAGTCCATCATTCAAGTGGGGGAGAAGTGAAAATCCATCTAATCCAAGCGTGACCTGCTCCCAGAGAGAAATACTGTTCCCAGGTGGTGTGGGCAGTGTTGAAAGAAAGGGAAAGCTGAAGGGATCAAATCCCCAGTCCTGGATAAAGCACGTTCCTGGGAGGAGCAGGGAGCTGGGCTCGGTGATCCTTATGGATCCCTTCAAACTCCAGGCATTCTGGGGTTCTTTAACAAAAGAGCAACTAAATGTGCTTTTTAGTTAATGGGGGAACACTGTGGTTTGTTTTTTTTTTTTTAGTGCAAAATCCAACCCCTCTGAAAAAGGGAAATAAACCAGCCATTGAAATGCTTGTGTGGAGAATTTGTGTTTGCAGGGAAAGGGTCAGGCTTTTCCAGAGCAACAATGTCGGGTTTGAGTATTTAGAACTGGGCACTGCAGGAGTCTTTGCCAGCTGGGGAGATGTTTCAGTGCTGAAGTCAGGGAATCATGGAATGCTTTGGGTTGGGAGGGACCTTAAAGCCCATCCAGTTCAACTTCCCTGCCATTGGAACACCTTCCACTAGCCCAGGTTGCTCAGAGCTCCATCCAGCCTGGCCTTGGACACTTCCAGGGATGGAGCAGCTTCTCTGGGATTCTTTTCCAGTAATGGATCTGGAGGAATCGCTCCTGTTGAGGAGTTTAAACCCTCAGCTGGATCTGGATCTGGATCTGTACAGAACTAATGGGGCAGTTTTAATTGCAGATTTATTTTATGGCATTAAAAAGGAACTAAGGAACCAACTGCTCCCCTATTTTCCTTACAATCACTAATCCTGATTACTGATTGTAGCTGATTACAACCTCCTTACAACCAACTGCCCTGCCAGAAAGATTATTTTAGGGAAGATGACTGTGCTGAATTCAGCAAAACAAACCCCAAGTGTGAGGCAGGAGTAACCCACACCTCCTGCTCACAAACAGCAGGAAGGTGGTGGCTCCAACCTGCTGTTCCCAGGCCTTGAGAAGGGGACCTGCCGTGCTTTGGGAGGCCTTGGTAAGGGCTGGGAGTTCTTTGGGGGACGGAAAACAAATATTGAAACGGCTCCTGTTGGTTCCAGCTCTGAGGGAACCCTCAGGTCACTTCACAGCAAGGCAGGAACTTCAAGCAGTGCCTGAAGGACAGGAGGGTTTGGCTCCTGTGGTGCTGGAAGACGTTATTTGAGTTTAACTCGACGTGTTCTCAGGGTTCAGCTCAGAAATCAACAGGTGGCACCGAAAAGAGGTGGAATTTACTCCAGGAGAACTCCCTGAAAAAACCCACATCCTTAATTCCTGATGGGTGTGTGACAGGGTGCGGAATATCTGCAGCAAGCCACACGTTGTCTGGTCGATGGGGGAAGTCACAAACCACTTGGAAAGGAATTTCTCCCCTTCCAGAAGCCTCTCCCAGCCCCCAAATCCCCTTTCCCTGCACGCACAGGACAAGGGGCATTTCCAAAGATTCATTTCCTTATCATATTTCCTAAATAAATACTTTATAAAGTAGATATTCCCATTTTTGAGTCTGTGCTGTAGCAGGATGCTTAAGTTAAAAACCAACCCAAACACTGCAAATCAAACCCCCCAAGAAACATTTAAGTGCCTTAAATGAAAAGTACCTGAAAAACGTCACAAAGAACTGCACCAGGTCCATAAAGTTGCTGTGCTGTGAGAATGCAATCTGCAAGACAAAAGCAAATGTTCTCTGTTACTCACTGAAAAGAAAATTAATATTTCAAAATATTAAAAAGGATTAAAATTTACAATAAAATATCTCTTCAGTTAATTCAGTCGATTCACCTTTTTCTGAACAGTTTTTGAAAAAGAAATGAAAGATTCTGAGGGGGAAAGAAAACAAACGATAAATTCCCGTTGTTTTGAAAACATGCATCCCAAAAACGGAGCTGGACAAGCAGCATTCCAAGGGAAATTCTTCAGTGCACTTTGGAGAAAACATCAGTTAATCATTAGAAAGCAGAGCTGTGAAAAAGCTTTGATTAAAACTGAAAACCTTTAATTATCGCTGACGCAGCAACTCCGAAAAACTCAACTCCAAAAATTTAATTTACACTTCCAGCAATACTCCAGAGAGGAAAAAAAAAAAAAACAAAACAACCAAAAAACCTCCCTGGGGTGAAGGAACTTACACCCAGAGCTGCAAAGAGGCAGGAAACACAGAAGAGAATGGACACTGTGAACACGGCCAGGGCGTTCATCCTCCCCACCGGGAAAAACCAGGAATGTTGGGGACAAAAACCCAGAGCAGGAAAACTGGGAGGTGGCTGGAGGAGAAGGGGAAGATGAGGGAGCCCTGGGGAAGAGGAGCAGAGCGGAGGGAAAAGCAGCTGGGCAGTTTTAGGGAGCAGAGGTTCTTTCCAGGTACCTCCTATTTCCTCTGCCTCTCCATCCCGGCCCCACAGTGGGATTTTAACCCTTTCAGGAAAAAACAGCGTTTCTGTCCGAGCTCAGGGGAAATCTGCACTCACAAAAGCTTTTCAATTCACTTCAGGCATCACTCAGTGGGTTGGTTTTTTTTATCCTTGATGAACAGAAACACAGATCCGTCCTCCCAGCCACAGGAGGAGCCCCAAAAAATCAGCATTATACGCAAAATGAGCCGCTGTTTGGATTTCTGTCGCTCTGCAACACTTTTTATGATCATATTTACTTTAAATATCGATTGTAACTCAGTAGAGAAGCTGCCCCAAATATTTTTTTTTTAATAAATACATTGAAACACTCCAAAATTGAAAATTCCCTTGCAGGGCACAAGCACTGCGGGGTTGGAAAGCGAACTCCAAACCTGCACACCAGATGCTCTGCCCTCAATATTCCTGCCTCCAGAAGACAAGAAAACACAGTTTCTTCTTCCTTTAAAATGTTCTTCCCAATACTTTTCTGATTATAAAAAGGCACTGAGTGTTATTTCACTTTTTAGATTAAAAAGAAATTAATCAGTGCATGGCCAGTGGTTTAATCCGTGCATGACTCTCGTGGAATTGTCTGTAAGGCAAAGATTGTCCTCACTAAAATATCACGGCCCAAAATAAAGATAATAGGATAAAAATAATGACTCTTCTTGTTGTTGTTGTTTCTGAGAGCAACCAGGATGCAAAAGATGCATTTGGAAATAAAGCCCTTTTTGTGCAGCGACAGCTTAAATTTAAAAATCCTTTTGGGGAGAAATGGAAAATTAAAAGGACAAGGGAATCATCAACAGGCCAGTTCTCTGGGGATGATCAGCAGGAGCAATGTGGAAATCAAAAGTTGCTCCCATTAGAAGAAGAAACAAGTATTTGTTATTTTAATATTATAGAAATTCTATGAAAAATTAATGAGACTGTTACCAAAGAAGGGTTTCTCTCTCTTTTTTTTTTAATAATATAAAAGAAAACAAAACAGAAAAAAAAAGTCCAAAACAAAAAACCAAACAAAAATAAACCAAACAAAAAAGGCAAAAGCACAAAAAAAAAACCCACACAAACCAAACCAACCAACCAAAACCCACAAAAACTCATCAGGAAAAAAAAGGCAAACACCTCACTAAAAAAAAAACAAAGAAAAAGAAAAAAGGAAAAAAGGGAAAAAGAAAAAAAGGGGGAAAAGGGAAAAAAGTGAAAAAGTAAAAAAGGGAAAAAAGGGAAGAAGGGGAAAAGGAGAAAGAGGAAAAAAAGGAGAAGAGAAAAAAAGAAAAAATGGAATAAAGGAAAAACAAAGGAAACAAGGGGAAAAAGGGAAAAAAGGGAGAAAAAAGAGGAAAGAAGGGAAAAAAGGAAAAAAGGGAAAAAAAGGGGAAAAAAGAGGGGAAAAGGAAAAAAGGGAAAAAAGGGTAAAAAAGGAAAAAAGAATAAAGGGAAAAAGGAAAAAAAGGAAAAAGGGGGAAAAAGGGAGAAAGGGAAAAGAGGGAGAAAAAAGAGGAAAGAAGGGAAAAAGGAAAAAGGGGGGAAAGGAAAAAAGCGGAAAAAGGAAAAAAGGGCGGAAAAGGGGAAAAAATAAAATAATAAAAAAAAAGTAAAATTTGGTTTCTTTCACACAAATCCCTACAAATAATTTCCCATTTCTGCACATCTCCCTCTGTTCCTTCCTGGGAACTGCAGCTTTCCCTGCCTGTTGGAATTCTCCTCCTGCAAAGGCCAGCTGAGCTCTGTACCTCACATCATCAACACTGCCCAACAATCACCATCAACACTGCCCAACAAACACCATCAACCCTGCCCAACAAACACCATCAACAAACAAACACCATCGACACTGCCCAATGTGTGTCCCGAGCAATTTGGGCTCATCACTGTTAATGCTCTGCTCTCTCAGAGCCTCATTTCCCCTCCCAGAACGTGCTTCATTCCAGTTAAATTCAAAGTTGGGTTCGAAAAGGCTGTTCCCAAGTAGATTGTTGGTCCTGGCTCCAGGAAAAACGTGGCAGCAGGTTCCTAATCCTCAAAAAGCTCTGGTTTGGGGCCAAAGGGTGAGGCAGGTGAACTGCAGGAACGCTCCGTGGGGATCGTGATGGGGATGAGGAGAAACTTCTTCTCCTGGAATGGGGCAGAACCTCAGCTCAGCTGCAAAGGCAAATCACCACTTTCATGTGGATCCCAAAATTGCTGGGGTTGGAAAAGCCCTCTGAGATCATCAGTCCAACCATCCCCCAGCACTGCCAAGGTCACCACTGACCCCTGTCCCCAAGTGCCACATCCACAGGGATTTGAAATCCCTCCAGGGATGGGGACTCCACCCCTGCCCTGGGCAGCTGGGCCAGGGCTGGACAAACCCTTTCCAGGAAGGAATTTTCCCCAATATCCAACCTAAACCTCCACCTGCACTCACATTCAGCCACTACCAACCAGCACCTCCAGCTCCTTTCCCAGCTTTCCAGCCACTCTTCCCAAGCCACACCCACCTTTCAAGGATATTTTATATTCTTAGGAATTACGGAGTACCCCTAAGTAGTTAAATCAGATAATTAATTATGTTAATCCCAAAGAATATTACAAAGCTTGTGTTTATTTGATCTGAACAGATACCTGGGAAAGCACAGCCCCCCCCCCCCCATCCTGTTTTTTCATCATCTGAAGGATCAAAACAATCCACCTGCTTTCCAGATGAACAGGAATAGCTGTGTGGACCGATAAAAATTCATAATGAAGAGCTTTACTTTCTTTATCATTTGATTAACATAAACCACGGAGCCAGGAAGCCAATTTGGCCGCCTCTGACTGGCCAAAAAACATCCCAAAATTGCCCTGGGTTGGAAATCAGTGCTGACACACTGCAAAGGAGTTGATGGCGAATGACTTGGCCCCGAAATATTTGGGAGGAAAGGGAAAGCAATTTGAGCCCCAGTGATGTTGCAGTGACAGCTGGTGCTTCAAAATCAAAAAATATCGCTGTGATTGATGGGAATTTTGACAAACAAACTGGGATGATTCCATAGCAGGACGTGCTTTCCATTAAGTTTGTGCTTCAAGAGGAAAGAAAACTGGGATTAAACTCCAGAGAACAGTTTGGGACAAAAGTGGGTCCAGTTACCTCTCAGTCTACTAAGGCCTAAGCTCACCTTAAGCATTTAAGTGGAAAAATAAAGTTATTTAAGGCTCCATTCTTTGATCTACAAATGCTCTCAACTCCTTAAAACCAACTTGAGTTTCACATCCCACCGAGGAAAATCAGTGCCACCAACCCAGGGAGAAAATCTGCAGAAATTTCTTTTCTTGTTGAATCCAGCAAGAAACCAACTGAAGTAACACCTCCTGTTTAGCTGTAACAACCAGATTTACAGACAGTTTATCACATCTTAAATCCCTCTACTTGTGCTGGAAATTACTGGGATTTTAGGAAAATAGAAGCCAAATTATTTGCCACATGGGGGGGGATGGGACAAACCACTCTCCAAACTCAAATAATTCCTGATATTAGACATAATATTTGTGCCACCAATGTAAAATTAACTGAAGAAGTGATGATGAGAGAGGTGGGGTGCTCAGCCTGGAGGAGAGAAGGTTCCAGGGAGACCTGAGAGCCCCTGGCAGGGCCTAAAGGGGCTCCAGGAGAGCTGGAGAGGGACTGGGGACAAGGCATGGAGGGACAGCACACAGGGAATGGCTTCCCACTGCCAGAGGGCAGGGAGAGATGGGATATTGGGAAGGAATTCTTGGCTGTAAAGCCCTGACCCAGGTTGGGCAGAGAAGCTGTGGCTGTCCCTGGATCCCTGGGAGTGTCCAAGGCCAGATTGGACCACCCTGGGATAGTGGAAGGTGTCCCTGCCCACGGAATGAGATGCTCTTTAAGGTCCCTTCCAAGCCAAACCATTCCATGATTCTGTGAATATGTTGAAAAATGTCTCAAGTATGGCTATTTCACAGCATACTTTAGGACATTTTGGGTCTCTGGACGCTTGAGAAAACGTGATCAACCACACAAAATATTGTTTCTGTGACTTCTCTTCCCCTGCTGACAATTCAGGATTATTTACAGGCCGGCTTTCTGCCTTTCTTCCCTCCTGTACAAAGCGACTCAATTCACACCATCGATGCCTTTCTTTTCATCCCAGGGATGAGGGGAAAAAAAAAAAAAAGGGAAATTGGAAATGATATTTTGCACAGGACACGCTCCCAGAACAGAATTGTAAAAGAGAGAAAAATAAAAGTCCAATTAACTTCTGAAAGCAGAGAAGTCCAGCAGAGA